GAGAAGACATTACCTCACGGATGCATTATTTCTCTATATTTCGTCTTTCTCTCGATCATGGCCGTAGACGTCGCATGATCACGAGCGCATCCAGCCATTACCACCTAGATAATACACACACACACACACACACACACACACACACACACACACACTTACAGCCCTGTAAAATTACAGAAGATTAAATGTTTTCCCCAGAAGAACTACATAAAGTATGGAGTACCCTTAAGAACAACAAGGCCCCGGGGACTCGACGGGGTACACAACGAAATTCTGAAGACAGTGGCAAAGGTCCACCCCCAACTTCTTCTGAAAGCATATAATAGATGCTTGAAGGAAAACGTATTTCCGAGTTTATGGAAAAAGCAGAAACTTACTCTCTTCTTAAAAGGCAGCACACCTCAACACGATCCCACATCTTACCGACCAATCTGCCTACTAAACACGATGGGAAAGGTATTTGATACTGCAAAGACTACAGACATGGCTAGAGGAATCACATGTTCTGTCGGAAATGCAATATGGCTTTCGAAAAGGTAGATCGACAGTCGACGCCATAACAGCAGTCGTAGAAAAGGCCAGAGACGCCAAAGAGGGAGCAAAGAAAGAATTCTGTGCCCTCGTAACGCTCGATATCAGGAACGCCTTTAACTCGGCGAAATTGGAGGAGATTATCAAGGCTCTTGTAGAGAAGAACACCCCAAAGTACCTCACCAGTATGATAAGGAGCTACCCAAGCGACCGAAAGACAATTTACGAAGGCTAAGGAGAACCCATTGAAATCGAGATGACCTGTGGTGTTCCACAAGGTTCGAAACTTGGTCCTGTCTTATGAAATATTATGTACCACTGTCTACTGAGCATAAAACTCCCGCAAAATGTCTCAATATTGGACTTTGCAGACGATGCAATAATAGTGGCAACGGCAGAAACATCGTGCCTACTAGTGAACTACATCGTGAACGACGCCCTGAGAAGAGTGATGAGATGGCTGACGTCCAAAGGGCTGGAAGTGGCAGCCCATAAAACGGAAACATTGTTTATCACGGACAGACGATCCTACTCCAACCCAACATTCATAATAGGCAAGGAAAAAATACAATGCTGCAAGAGCCTTCGCTACCTAAGAATGGAAATTGACAGGAAGCTAAGTTTTGGACCACACGTTACCGAGACGACGGAAAAAGCCCTAAGAATAGCAGCATCGCTTTCAAGATTGATGCCGAACACCAGGGGCCCCAGCGACAAGACGAGACGACTTCTTATGAGTGTGATGCACTCGAAAATGCTCTATGCAGCACCGATCTGGACAGAATCTCTTCAAAACAAGAATTTGAGAAGGATATCGGCGTATAGAACTGTATCCGGAAGTGCTGTTCTGCTGCTGGCGAACGTTCCTCCTATTGACCTGCTTGCTATAGAAAGGAAAGAAGTTTATGACTACTCCCATGAACAAGAAGGCAACTAAAGGCGAACGCACCAAGATACGGATAGCGCAATTAAAAAAAACTAAAGAAAAGGATATGCACCGCTGGCAGAAACGCTGGGACAGAGAGGAGACCGGCAGATGGACTCTTAGGCTCATCCCGAATGTATCCAAGTGGATAAGCCGCAAACACGGGTCCGTGACATATCACTTAACTCAGGCATTCACAGGGCATGGATGTTTTAAGGCATACCTTAAAAGATTCAGAAAGACAGAAGACGCGGTATGCTTCTACTGCAGCCATGAAGCGGACGCCGCCGAACATACGCTGTTCCATTGCCCGAAATGGGACACGCTAAGGCATCGCATGATATGGGAGGTCGGGTGTAATGTCTCACCAGAAAACATGGTTACACTAATGATCTGTAACAAGGAGAAGTGGACAGCTATATAGAAATATATCACCGCCATTTTCAAGAAGAAGGAAGAAGATAAATGAAACCAGTCATAGCTGAACCTGAATAGCACCTCGAAGTAATACAGCTGGCACCATCCTGAAGTAATGCATAACTGCGGTTCCAGGATGGATAACGACAGGAACTGAAAGGGTTCGTGATTTTAGTGGGTAAAAATCTCACACTGTTGAGTAGTGCGGGCTCCTCTTCGTTTTTTGAAAATTTCCACAGTTCCCCTCGTAAAAAAAGAAAGAAACTAGATTCAGCTCTGCTATACGGTCGCGACCATACAACATATATCGTCAAGACGAGACGGCCGCGATAAGTAGTGAAATATAATAACAATAATAATAACAATAGTAATAATAATAGTAATAATAATAATAATAATAATAATAATAATAATAATAATAATAATAATTATAGACTCCTGTAATTAATGGCGCAATGGCCCTTGAAAAACAGAAGAAACTGACGACAGCTCACCTAGATTACGCTAATAGCATTCTACACCCGTGCCCCTATTCTTGGTCCACAACTGTTTGGGCACCATGTATACACATGGTCCCCGCTTTATCCAAACTTCTGAAAACTGGCGATCGAAGCTCGTGGAATACAAAACTGTATCTCTCTATGAAAAAACAATCATCGTCAACACCGATACTATAAACATCCGCCGAGGATTTTCCAGATCGGTGAACTCTTTTAAGCCGCCCTCTATGTTCTGTTTAGCTTGGAAATCCCCTCTCTCTTACTTAAATCATCTAATTATGTGATCGCTCTTAAAAAGGTGAACTAACTCTTCTTCGTGTCTCACATCTCCTTTACATGGTATGACCTGAAGCTCTATGCAGACAATCCTCGACGACAGTCCCATAATCTCACAATACGTGAGGAGAAGTTCCGATGACGCATTAAGATGAAATTCCACCCGTTGGATAAGTGAACCTAGAAACGTGAATATCATTCTGCGTCATATGCAAGTTAATAAATTTGGAACTAGGGTTATGAACAAAGATTACACTTCATGAACCCACCATGAAACTTACAAATACTTGGGTTTCCCAACAGCACTCCGAAATCAAACATACTGTTACTAAGAATATACAACAAATGAAGTGTGTAACGATTGCATGGGGCTCTTAAAAACTCCAACTCTCGCTAGAACCTGTGCAGGCTATCAATTCATTGTTATTCCCCAAGGCCCCCCTTTTGAACCCCCCCAATTAACTTTCCCCCCCCCTTTTTTGGCGGTTTTTTATGTTAAATGGAGCAATACCGACCTCGACAAACCTTCCAGAGAAAAACAATCGGAACCAGCTATGAACTCAATCACACCGGAAAACATCATCCCCATTCAAAGTACTGAGCGTTTTCACCCTTAATCGACACCTGCACGCGCGTGAATGCACTATATGTAGGCATGAGCACAGCGCGACCGAAGTGAGCGAACTAACGAGAGATTATGGAGAGAGATACCTCTATGACGATAAAAGCGCATATAGATCCTATATCTATATAGATCGTAACATGAGCACACACAGAACGCGGAGACAGAGCGCGCCACGGGAACACACCATATCATATCTATATATATCTATCACGAGCGGCGCACAAGATGATTATATTTAGCGGCGCGCGGACGAGCTGAGTAACAGAAGTCGAGCATCGGACACGTCCCGGCGAGCACAGGTGCAGAGAGCACCGGGTCCGGAGACAGAAGCCTTCATGATAGCTATCCAGGAGCAAGTGGTACACATTGAACCTCCAGAAAAACAGAACAGTTTTAGAGATACTACCATTCATTGTCCGACTCGTGTAGAAGATGTGAGGCTCGCAAGCGAAACTATCCAACACGTAACAATGGATGGTAGGCAAGCCACGCACCAAGGTGGATACACAAAAAGAGGCATGATGAAAGTGGCGAAGCAGGTACACCAATTATTGGCGTGAGCAACGGGCTTACTCGCCACTTCCGTGCCGTATTATAAATATGTGCCTCAGAAGTCTTGAAAAGTAGTGAGCACACACTCTACTGCATCGTTCCCATTTACTCATCTCACTGGACAGACATGTCGGCGGCCAATAGACCAGATATAAACGTCACATTAGATAGAACCAACAGCAGGTTTCCTTATCGATATATCAATACCCAATACCGCACAACAAATATCGGGAAATATCAAGAGAAGATCCAGAAGTAACCAATCTCGGCATAACTGAAGTCGCAACTCAGTGAACTTCAGTAAAAGTGAAGACTGTGCCTAATAAATAATATCAGCTACGGGAGTGGATCCCAAAATGACACTCTCGGGCACCTGGAGTGGTCTTCACTTGGAATCCAGGAATGTACTATAATAGCAAAAAGACAGTTAAATTTTGAGTACACTGCCGTATTGTCAGAAGCATCTGACCTTCAGTAAGCAACCAACCACACCTGTCATCATACCGTGTGTGTTGACATACCGACCAGTGATATGTGAATAATGTAAGACAATAATAATAATAATAATAATAATAATAATAATAATAATAATAATAATAATATATTTTTCAAAGAATTACATTGTCAGTGTACAGGTGTTTCTATTAAATATATAAATTTAAAATAACAAAAAACATCACCATAAAAACAGTAAAATTAGAAGAGGGAATACTAATTTGTTTGACTACATTACATCCTATTTAACTTTTAGCGAAAATACCGTTCTTGAATATAGAATCCAGAATATAGCCTGATTAAAATGTATGGTGAGTTGACTTTAGATCAGCTGGAACGCAGTTATCCACTCTAAAGCTTCAATATCAAAAACAAGTTGTAACACAGCTCTCTATTGGATAAACGTGTCCCAGTTTATCGTTGCTAATTTGCATTATTATTAAGATTAAGTTTTAAAATTGTTGTCACAATATAATTCTATTTACTTGTTGTTCAGTCCCTTATTTTAAATTATGGATAACCACAATGATCAACAGGGACTGAACAACAAGTAAATATAGTTTCCATTATTGTTTTAATGGGAGTGATCTATACTAAGTTATATTTAATCATGCCTTTGAAGTAAGTCAGCTGTTCACGGTGTTATCCAATCGGAAGCTCGATCGTCGCCATAGTGACATCACTGTAGTGACATTGAGCTCCCTATTGGAAGAAACCACAATACCTGATTTACTTCAAATGCAAGGTTGAATAAATCTTAGTTAATGTAATAGCTGCTTTAGTGAAAAGGCGGGAATGCGGGAAAGATTCAGTGATGACAAAGATGTGATTCGTATTTAAGTATTTCCGATGGAGACAGATCAGGTTGATGCGTTGGGCTGAATTTGTAACTGTAATTGCCAATTGCCAAATGTTGTAAGATGATAAAATTTATTGATGTGTTTGCAATGATGTAAACGTAAAAGATTGTGGACTCCTTAGGTTGGAACTTACATTTTCACAGGTGAAGATTGCAAGAATTGCACCTTTAAAATGGGAGATACAAGAAGAAAGAAAGTTAACGTAACATACATTAGTGATAGTGACGTCGCGAATATATTTGTTTCTTTAGATGGTGAAGGGCTGTATGGTGAGGAAATCTTAAATTTTTATCTTAGTGCTGGTAGTGAATTTGTAAATTCTCACTCTTATTTTGAACTTATGAAGAAACTATGTAAATAAGCACATTTTAAAGGAATAAAAATACCCCTTCTTAAGAACTAGTTTAACAATCAGTATGGTAAGAAAAGTAGTATAAGTTTATGTTTGGATATGGCCGCAGAGTTTTTAATAACAGACAGTTTTTATATCTTAAAAAGCTTATTGAGAGCAATCTCATCATAAGAAGTTTTGTTGTTTTTCAGAGCGACGTTTTGAGGAATTTTTCCACAGTCTCCTGGCTAGACATAGTAAAGCATAAAATTAATCTAAATATGTTAAAAAAATATTTATTTTGGGCGAAAACAGTTAAAAGTTTTGTTCCTATGGGGCGAATGAATAGAAGTTACACAAATGATATTTATCAAACAAAATTATTCTAATGGAAATAACCTTCAATATAATCGTAACATGTAGAGACTCTCCAATTCAAACAAAATACAGTAAAGCAAATATATGTACATTAATACAACTGAGCATGCAAAGCACATACAGAATGGCTGTTACCTGTTACTCCGAGTACAATGTAAACGATCAACTAAGACCATTTAAGGAGGGGGGAGAGGCTTTAAAATACATTACATGAAATATAACATAGAACAGAGAGATTATTATTCTTGTTACTAAATGCCTTTAGAGGAAATATTAATAAATTTCAATTAATGGCTCGCTGAAATAAAATGCATGAAAATTAATCTGTGGCTAGCAACCATACAAAGCATTAGTTTCTGAAAAGTTCCGTAAGACAGTCATACAGACAAGTTGAATGAATGCAATAATTTTGTTTGATTAATATCATCCGTGTAACTTCTATTCACATTCTTTTTAACACATTTTCATTAATTTTTTTCTTTACTATGCATAGCCTGAAACTGGGAAAAATTAATTCCCCAAAACATCGCTCTGAAAAACAATAAACTTTTTATTATGTGATTGCTCTGAAGAACTGAATTCACTTTTTATAATCTAAAAACTGTCTGTCGTTAAAGTGTTTATGGTCAAATTCATTTAACAATATATATGTTAGTGAGAGTACTGACAATTTCCTTAATTGATGGATATTTGTATTATTGAAATTGCTTGTGTTGACAAACCGTTCATTTAACGGAATAAAACAGTTATAAAATTGTGACACATACTATGGGGCGAAGTGCATTCTGAGCATGTTTTCTTGGCACTGGGATCCCTACCTAACTTATGTACATATTAAATTGAATTATGAGTACAGGTAGCAATAAGTGTTTTAGGCAAGAATTGGTTAGAAAATAATTGCTTCTTTCAACGCAAATGAGCCACAGATTTAGGTTATTTTCCCTTATGCATTATATAGAGAATGATAAGTTTGAATAATTATTTCCCCACTAGAAGACATGCACAGATAGTGAAGCTTCATTTATGTCCAGAAGCAAAATAAGGGTAAACCCACTAATTCAGTATTTTTTTCAAAGAATCAGGACAACTGGATTAAAGAAAATAAATAAATAAATAATCTTTGAGAAGGGGGCATCAAATCAGAATCTGTACTGTACTTGTTTCAAGCGTCTTTTAGAATTACGCTGAACAAATGGAATATAATAGTAAAATCAGTGTTTTCCTTTTTGATGAATAGTTTAGAAATGTATGCAGTAGAAATTATTTTAGTTTGGCTTAAACTTATGTTTCAATTTTAATTTTTTAATGTCATCAGGTTGTGTGTTTTTAAATATTGTATATGTATTGGTTGAGAATTATTTGTAGTGAGCTGTTGATACTGACACCTGATGAATATAGTTAGTACATCCAGTGTTATAGTTATAAACATTTGAATTGGCTGAAAATATATTCCCTCCCTTGACAAAACCCACTTATTCATTAATAAATGGACTAGGCAATGGTAGAATTAATAACTTTTAAAGAGTTTCACAACCATCATCAGAGTGGGATTTGCTTAATATTTCTACAATTTTTTTTCTGTAAGTGAAAAGTCAGGAAGCTGTAGGATGTGTTTACCAAGAATATTATACCTTATCGCAGGGGATAAACATTTGTGAAATATTCATGAGCTATATGAAAACTGACTGAATTTCAAAGAATTCTGCATGTGTAGTTCATTTTGTTTTCAGTATATTTTAAAAAACATTCCTTATGAGGTGAAATAAATGAACTACTATTTCCTCTAAATTCTTAGGAATGTTTGTTGGTTAGAATGCATGAACATATTTTTAAATGCAAACCGAGCTCTCAACTTGTTTAAAGAATTATCAACAACCTTTTCTCTATTACTTCTAGGCTGTCCGAGTGATGCCGCGTCGTTGGCAGATAGGCCGATGTTTCGCCTGTCATGTCGCAGGCTTCCTCAGGGTAGTGATGAAGAAGCCTGCGACATGACAGGCGAAATTTCAGCCTATTTGCCAACGATGCAGTGTCACCCGTACAGCCTAGAAGTAATGGACTCGAGCCGCGCAAGCCTACGTGTACAACCTTTTCTGTAATTGCAAACAATACAAATCTTTGTTGAGTAAGAAAGCTGTTGACTTTTTTGTCCTGTGAGAGACCTTTGGTTTTGGGTACTATGTACTTCTATTAAAACTTGAACACATTGTACTAAGGGGCAAAGCAAACTATTTTATTGAACGAATCATAAAATGTACTGATCTTTTTTAGAAGTAGTAGTATATAGATTGTAAGCGACCCCTCGGTATCCTAACTAGATATACACAGCAGTTTGATGCCAGCCATTTGTTCACTGCTCACGAGGACCTGAACTCTCTCTGTTCCTTCTGTTCATGATATTGTGTGTTATTTTTCTCCACTGGTTTCTGTCTTGAATGTACTTAAGTATTTGTGGCTATGGAAGGTTGGTAGCCTTGCTTATTTCATTGTTCTGCCGACAATATATCTTTTTCCCCCTCTTTTTGCTTCCTTCTACCATCCCAAGCATTATATCCTTTTGCAGGGTTTCTGATCACTTCATATTATGTCCAAAATAATTTTAGTTTCAATTTAGTGACTTTCATTTCTAGAGGGTTTTTTTTTTTTTCATTTACATTCCCATTTTACATTCAATATTTCCCTCCACATTCAAAAAGCATCTAACTTCCTTTTTTAATGTCCAGCTTTCACACCCGCACAACAGGATTGGAAATACCATTTTCTCAATTAGTTTGATTTTGTTCTGAAGCAATATACCTGCACCTTTTATGAATTTATATCATTTTCTTTCTGCTAAAACTGTTCTTCTCTTTTAGTGCTTCTGTACTGAATCCAGAGCTTGTTATAGTAATTCCTAAGTACTTAACTTTGTCTGCCATGTATACCATTTCTCCGTAGATGTTCAAGCTTCCTTTTTCAGCAGTTGACATAAATGTTGATTTCTTTAAATTTAGTTTTAGTTCTGCCCTTCTTCTCTCTTCTGCTACTTCAATTACTAATCTTTTGAGATCTTGTGTGTTATCAATAATGAGGGTGGTATAATCAGCATATCTTTAGTTATTTGCCTTCCTCCAATTCTGATGGCTATGTCCAATCTGTATTTTTGCCATTCTCATGATATGTTCTGTATATAGGTTGAACAATCCTGGTGACATGGGTCCTTTGTTGACATGGAACTAGTTTGATTCCCCTTTGCTCGTTCGCCTCTTCATTCGTTTGAAGTGGCTTGATAAGTACATTGAGGTGTATTGGCATTTCCATCTTTTGAAGCGTCAGCCACATAAATTGATGGGCAATGTAGTCAAATGCCTTTGAGTAGTCCAGAAAGCACATGTACATTTCTCTTTCGAATTTCCAAGTTTCTTCCTTAATCCATTTAAGATTATCCATTTAGTCTCTTATGCCTCTTCCTTTTCTAAACACAGCCTGTTCTATTGCCAATTCTCTTTCGGTTCTAATCTTTTATTAATTATTTTGAGGATTATCTTGGTAACCTGTGGGATTAATGAATTATTCTGTTATTTGCACAATCTTGGCTGTTGCCTTTGATAATGGAATAAATAGAGTGCATTTGCAATCTGTTGGCCACTCGTTTCTTTTTCAAATCACATTGCATAATTGTGGTGGTTTCACCGTGATTTCTTTCCCTTGGTCTTTGAATTGTTTTATTGGGATATTGTCTACACCTGGGGACTTCACATTTTTCAGTTGTTTTGTCACCTAATGTACTTTTTTATTAAAATCTCTGATTTATCTTTATAATTGTCTGTATGTATCAATTCCTGTACTTGTAAATCCTTCTCATATAATGTCTTTGTATATTCTTCCCATCTTTTAATGATGTCTTCTTTTGTTGTAATTATTTTGCCGTTCCCATCCTTAACATTCCCCATTGTCGGTTTAAACTTCTTGGTCATATTTCGGATGTCCTGGAACATTTTTTTTTGTCTGTGTTTGTTATGTTCTTCCACTTATTTGCATTTTTTATGAAGAAAATTTTCTTTATTTTGATCTTGCACTTTATCTTGTTTGCTTTTGATCTTTATTGAGTTGCTGTATGTTGGTTTGGGCTGGAATACCCTATTGAGTTCTCTGACTTTTGTCCAGTCATTTGCTTTCTTTGCATTTCTTCTATCTTCTGCCACTAATCGTGTCATTTGTCAGACAGGTGCTTTTTTTTAGGAAGGTGCAAATAGATATATTAAACTGATCTAAATGCAGTTTGAGAATACAGCATACTTATCAGTTCTGGGTCAATTGTTCTTAATTTTTACGTACGGTCTTACCAAACTCCAGAATAATGTAATGTCATCTGCCAAGTCTGTTCTCATCTGAAATATCTGTAAAGTAAATTCACCAGACATTGCACTGAATTTGAGCATAAAGAGAGAGGGGGGAAAAAAATCTTCATATAGAATCACTTAAATGAAAATTCACTTTGTTGAACTTTGTCAATAACAACTCAATAACCTAAATTAAATTTTAAGGGGCAATATTATATATCCCTTAAATGGAAGTACTAGAGTTGATACATGGGCATGAAGTCAATCAGGTGAAGTACAAATCAGTACATAGGCAATTTGACTATCAGGTCAAGCATGTGAAGACAGAAGTGGGCCTAATTAGGATTATTTTATGCTTATTTTTGGTTTCTGTTGATGAGCTTGGGTCAAATTTTAATGGAAATGCATAATTTTTCTCTCTGGTTAGAAAGTACATCCATGAAACACTCAATACCCAATCATTAAAACATGATTTTAAGCTGCATCCAATTTTTTTTTTTTTTCTTTTCCTAAAAAGCATCTTACTTCTTGCTCTTTTCCGTATTTCCCTTAAAAATGTTTTTGTGACATATCAATCTATTTTAATCTGTAAATTTAATTTTCAATTTTGTAAAGCTTATTTGTGTTTGCAAGGTTTATTGTAGCTAACATCAATTTTTAGTATCTGAATTATGCAACATATTGCACTGGGAATTGTTGTTTCAAGAAAAACATGCCAATTAGTCCATATTGAAAGTTGGTAATGCTGACATCACAATAGTTTCCCCAAACTTAGTAAAATGGGATGCAAATCAGGAAATTACTTTTCTTTTCATGTTAGGAAACTGTATCGTGTCTTTTATAGGACATGTTTTAGGGCATATTTTTGAAGTTTTACAACATAAACTCATACATAAGTAGTCGATTAATTGAGTATAAAAATCTGGTTCCTACTGTTAAGCAAATGTAAAAACTTGCTGAAAAGTTAGCAGAAACGTTTTTTTTTTCATTTAAAAAAATAATTTTTATGATCTTAAACCTCTGTTTACATTTTACAATTTAAGAAAATTCATTTTTAACATATTTCTGTTAAAGAAAATGTGAATACGTCTTTCATAAACTTGCCTGAAGTCTTAAAATAATCCATAGACGTATTTGCAGTGCAAAATTATCTTCAGAAATACTTTCTTGGCTGTTTTTAATTTTATGAAATGGGTGTTGTTTTTTTATTTCATTGAATGTTCAGTAAGACATAGCTATTATTTAAATATTTACAAGTATTTTTTTTACAAACATTTACAGTATTTTTGCTGACATCAAGAAAATAATTTGGATACATTTTTATTTTATAAAAAATTCAATTATTTATCCAATTAAGACCCTGTATTGGTTATTTTAAAAAGCCTTTTTTTGTTGAATTTAAGCCTCCGCCTTTTTCCAAAAATAGCTAACAAAAATGGAGAGGGAGTATAAAATTGTTGTTTTTTTCACCACTCAATGTTACAATTGGATAGATGTGTTTATTTCGGACATCTATCTGCATTTCTTTGAGGAGCTACTGACAATAACTATTTGTGGGAAGTACCTGTTTTTAAATATTATTGCAATCAAAAACACCCAAAGTAAATTTCTGAAAATTGCATCAAAAAATTGAGGAGCATCCTGTATTTGAGAAAAGGGAGATTTAAATTTGAAAATAGAGATTGGTGAGACCTATAGGCCTAAACTTGGATAGATTATGTTGATCTTATTACTATGGTGCAGGGACCCCCAACTTTTTAAACAAATAAAATTATTAACTATACAAATGTTCAGCAGATCATCATAGAGCACATTCCAAAGAAAGTCCTAGTCTTCACCTTTGTGAGACACCACTAGTCATGTCTTCCTCTATCCAATATCCGTTTGTGAATCCATTTTATCTCGCTGAGGTAGACCTCCAGAATCCTCACAAGGTACTCGGGGACCTTCTTAGCTACCAGCACCTGAATTATGTCTTTCTACCTGGAAGAGTTAAATGCGTTTTTTATGTCTATCTTTCTTGCTTTTGGCCATTTCAGCACGGTGGACTGCTTCTCTGATAGCATCTGTTGTGGAGAGACCCTTTCTAAATCCAAACTCTTGATGAGAAGTTTCACCCCGAAGTCATTTGTTTCTCAAATTGTAAAAGGATTTGAGGGAGCCCCTTGAGTAATTTACTCATTGTATCCAGCAAGCACAAAGGTCTGAACAATGACTTCAATCCAAATGGTTTGTTTCCTGTTTTTATGAGGATTAGCTTCTGCTGTTTCCATTCCTTAAAGAATTTCCCCAGCTTAAGGCAGTGATTAAATGCATCCAGGAGGCATTTGGGAAATTGTTTTACCGCTATACCAAGGATCACTTTGGGGATTCCGTCCAATCCTGGCGCAGTTTTCAACTTGGTTTTCATCATGGTTTTTACTATTTCATCCTTTGTGAAGCAATTAAGTTTGTCGAAGTGATAGAAGGTCTCTCCCTTGCCCAGTATTCTCTGTTAGGAAAAGATCTCTGATAATTATCTTTACCCACTCGGAGTCTTCCAGTCATGCAGTGTTGGATGATTTAAATTTCCTCGTAACTATTTTATATAGGGGTCATTGTCCACCACATTTACTAAGTGTGGTGGACTACACATTTCCAGCATTTGGGATTACTTTTTTATATTTATGATTTAAGATGTTTACTTCTAGAGTTTTCCCTTATGTGGATGTCTGTTTTGGCCTTTGTTGCAAGTCTACGAGCTTTAATACACGCTTTACAGAGTTCTCCAATATCCACGTCTAGGCATTGAAATCTCACACGTATCTTTAACCATTTTTTGCATTCCCTTTATTACCTCTTCGAGGGACTTTTTTCTTCCAATCAATATTCTGCAACGGTTTAGCTTCATCAAGGAATGCCCTGGCTTTTTCTTCATTTAGGTTTGTTGGTGTTCCATGATGGTCCAACTTTTGGCTGTATCTCTCTTCCAGCTGTTTCCAACAGGTGAAGTGGAAAATTGTAAATAGCAATGATTGCTAAGTATCTCTTCCTCAAGAACTTACCAGTTCTGAACATTTCTGGCAATCTTTGAAGTTCCAATTGTCAGATCTATTATCAAAGATACCGTCCCTTCTCTGAAAGGTACAGTTCCCTGCAATTAAAAGCACCAGATCTTTCCTTGTTTCCATGCATTTGCAGACAATCTTCCCTCCACAATCAGATTTGCACTCTCCCCATTTCGGGAACTTGCTGTTAAAGTCTTCACAAACGATTATTTCCCCTGGTGCAGATTTCATGCTTGCCTCCAGTTGTCTACTTGTTTCCTAAATTTTTCAATTAGATCGTTAGGTGAGAAATAGCACCTATATTTATGTTGTCCATATCCACAGACAAACCCATGGTTTGTATTTTTAAATTTATTGATTCTCACAGTAATATAATGTGTACTTAGAAAAGATTTTAAATTCCTGATTTCCAGTTGGCAAGTGACTGGTCTCATTCTCCATTAGAGATATTGCAGTTGAAAATTTGGAATCAAATCTAAAGTTCCACTTTTTAAGAGTGTAATTTTGAAGTGACAGGCAACTTATTGTTATTTTACAAAAAGTAATGACGTGCACAGGAAAAAAGCTTCAACGCTGTTCCTTTGGAAAATTTGTCTCTGAAAATTGAATTTTGCTAATTATTAATTGATAATGATTTTAACCCTAGAGGGGTGGATGATAAAAAACAAAACAAACATTTTTTGTATTTCACTGTTTCTTGCTTCTGAAAACTTTTATCTTCTGCTGTATTTACTCAATATTTTCAGTAAATATTCCTGCATTTAACATGATGTTTTGTGTTAATGGACATGATTTATCAAAATTAAGAGGTTTACAAATTAATTAGGTTTGTTAACTTTCAAAAATGAGTGTTTGTAAATGTAAGCAATGTTGAAATTTACGAGCCTGTGAGGAATGAGTTTAACATTTGTAATTAGTTAAATAGCACTAGGTCTTATTGCACATTCAATGTTCTTACAAAATTTAATTCTCAACTATTACTCTACAGTTTATTGAATGTATTTGAAAGTGTGCATATTGTTTTTTAAAATGTTTTTGTTACAGATTCACAAAAGGGCAGAGTGAAGAGGAAAGCAGACACTTTGAAATGTGAGCAAGAAGATATAGAATTGCCAGATTTGGCTGTACAAAGCAAACCATCAAGTGAGAACACTCAGGAGAAATATAGCTGTTGTGAATGTAAAATTCTTAAGTTGTTGGAAATGAATAGCTGAAAATGTATTTTTAATGAATAAGTCTGATATGGCATTCCAATTTCCTTGTGACTAAATTTGAATACTTCTGATTTGGCAATTTCTTCTTTCAGGAAGATGCAGAGAAAAACTGATTTAATGAATATTTAACTCTTCAATGCAGGATGTTGGCTTTGAGAAGGCATCCTTGTTGAAAGGTTAAAGCTCTATAATGAAGGAGACATTTTACAGTCATTTTACCACAACTTAAGTTTTTTGATTTCATTTTATTTTTCTTTGTCATTAGCTTTTTCTGAATGCTTTTGATTTTTTTCCTGCATAGATCTGTTTGAAAGTGGAGACGTGACTGGGCAGCAAATCTTTGGTTTCTGCACTCCAAAGCGCCACGGTGCATTGGCAAGCAGGGCACTGGACTCTGGCAGCAAAACACCAAAAACTCCTCAAAGGATCAAGACACCTATGCAAGTTACTCCATCTTCTCGCAGAGGAAAACCACCAAAAACCTGTACAGGGGCATCTCCACTGAGTCACAAATTATTAGATCTTAAGGCTTCTCCACGACAGTCACTTTCTCAGAAAGTGTCAAGACAGGTTAATGAAACTCCAAAAGCAGTGAAGAAGCTGCAGTATTTAAGTGATGAAGTGAGAGGGAAAGACAATGCTCTGTGCCCACAGACCCCGTACAATCTTCGTAGAAGATTCAAGAAAAGTAAGATAGATTCTGTAGGACATATTTTTGCAGTAATTCAGAAATTCTGTTTCAGTAGAAAAAATTATTGATTTATTTTCATCTGCTTTGTATTACTCATTCATTTTATATTTGCTGGTATCAAAAGTAGGAAATACCAGTGCATTGTGTGAGTGTTGGGCCAGGATGTGTGCCTGTGCTCCCATCATAAAAAAGAGAAGCGCAATATGCACCAACTGACTCACTTTGTAGTCGTATGACCACCACAATGTGAAAACCAACACGTGTTTGTCCTAATGATTGGAAATAAAAAAATTATATTTTGTTTAAGATTTGTCCTCGCCACTAAAAAATGAGAAGGAAAAAATGAATATTATTGAAAACTGAATTTTCAACTCATGAAATTGTTTTCCTATGCCACTAATCTTAAAAACTAATCATTAAACAATTTTAAAACAATTAATTCAATTATAGAATAAGTTTTGCTTAAAAAAAATTACTGTGGAGAAAATCTGCTTTACAAGAAGACTGAATTTCAGTTTCTGAAAATTGCTTTTGATGATGTTACAGTGTAAAGTACAGTATTTAAAACTTATGTTAAATTTCATATACTATGATCTGAATGTATGAAGGGTTGAATCAGAGATAGTCATAAGCCACACCCTTTGCAGTTTTCACTTTTCTTTTTGTTGGTGTAGATTTCCAGCAGATGTCTCAGAGTTCTTGATGTTAACTGATATATAGTGGCAAATGAAGTATAAGCCAATGTTCTTCTCTTCGCCATTGTAAAGGTTAGAAATATGTTTGATACACGGTTTCAAAATGCGTTCTTGTAAAGAAATAATTTTGTGGCTTATTCCTATCTCTAATGCATCCCTTAATATGTAAAAACAAAATAAAAACACATTGTGTATTTTGTGTACTAATGTAAAAGCTGTGATGCTGTGTTGTTATTAACAAATCTATATTTGCACACAGAGATTGCAATTGCTGCTTCTGAAGAGCAGTATTCATCTGATGAGAGGGAAGCAGAAGATTTTTCAGGAGATGAGAGCGACTGGGCCAGTAAATCAGAAGACTCTCTTACCAATTCGAGCAGTGAAGATGAAGAATGTGATGGTGTACAGAATGTGATTTTAACAAAAAAGGGTGCTGGTTTTGGCCCAAGTAATTGCAAAAACTTCAAACTCAATTTTGTAAGTTTTAAAAATTATTTGTGTATTGTGGATGAATTTCTATAGGGTTGAGCTGTTTACAGAAAACTGTTTTCTTTCAATTTCTGCACACATTTGAAATTAGTAATATTGATAATGAAAGCAAATAATAACAACAATAATTAATAATATTGAAAACAACATTCGCCCAATAGTAATATACATCTTATTGCATGTAATTTACTACAATATTTGCAAATTTCATACATGCATTGTTTTTCAGAATGTATGTTATGAATTTCGAAAGCATGAAAAAATGTTGAAATTGATCCCTTTTTTCCAAACAAACATGTTGCAAATTTCATAAAATGAACATTCATTCCCATCCTCATGACATTCCCAAAAATTGGTAGGCAGCTCCACATGTGACAGGTTTGGCAGGTGCACAAAATTTCTGTGATTGCGTCAGATTGTAACTTGTCAAACACTAGTGCAGGGGAAGTTGAGTAACAGCCGGGGCAAATGTATATGTAACTTCATTAGGTGAAATTTCTGTCCACCTCTAAAGTGGCAAAAAGTTATCCTCAACTCTCCTACATGTCCTGGAAGTTTGGAACATTGATTCTGAGACATCTGTAAATACAGTTATTATGTAATTTTTAACACAGTATTCAGATTGAAGACATTTTTGGAGAAACATAGACTTACTAGAAATATGTTTTATAGTATACAGTATGTTCACCATATATTTTCTAAAAGTGAGGATTGCCCTTTTATGTACTAAAAAAATAGAAAATATTTATTTTTTGTGTCAAAAAATTGAAATGTATTTGTTAAAGGACAAAAATATCTATTTACTATGCATATTGAAACAACAGAATGAACTGGAAGACATTAAATTTCCACCATTCTAATTAGAACAGCTAAAGTTATGCGAAAAAGAAAAGGTGCTAATAAGGCTGGTATGATTTAAATCATGTATTTCAAATGAGATTTTTTTTTTTAAATCAATGATTAAAAACCAAATTTATTATTTGTAAAGTAAAAATTACTCAGATAAGACTTAAATCAATTACAAAGTTGATGTTAAGTATATATTATATTTCTTATAAACTTTTTCACATAATTAAACTATTTTTAGAAAATAAAATACAATATAATATACAATAAAATGAACAGACGTATGAAACGAAGAACAAAAAAGAATTTGTCGAAAAAGAATAGACAAAGCTTGAATGATGTCCATAATCCTAATTTAAATTAAAATGTTTGCAAAAGACATTTAAGGTACATCATAAAGATGATGTCTTAATAAAAATGGAATTTAATTAATGCTCATTTAAAGAACAAAAGTAATTTTGTTAAAGCTAATGAAAACGGTAGTTAATTTCCAATTTTTAATAATATTAACCTTTTTCTTTATGTGTATATTGATAAAATTCTATTTTAAGTGGGAAACGTTCTTCTAACTGACCGTTAAAGGGTTAATGGGAAAATGTGCAAGTAATAAACGTTAAACCCCATATTTTTTGATAACAGGACAACTAAAATTTAATATTTCAAAAAGTGTCTTACATTGTTATCAATTCTTCTGTGAATTCACTTGTTTTCAATAATAAGACTTATTGATTATGGCAGTATTGAACAAAAACTAAAATTTCTTTGAACAAATAATGCCTTCTTTCTGTATTAAGCTAATATATGATGTCTCAAGCTTATTTGGTGATATGGTTGAAGAGAAGTGTTTCAAGACCGTGATACTATAAGTAAATCAAATTTAATGATTTTGTGAGTTAGGGCGGTATTGCACTGGAACCTTCAAATATATAGTATCTTTATTATTTTAAATAAAATTACAACAATTTAATGATAAATTTAAAAAAAAAAATTTTTAATATACTTTTTCTGCTTTTAAAGTAATTAAGGGTAAATAAATCGATTAACAACTTCGGTTCAAAGTAAAAACTAATACAAAAAATCGATTTGAATAAAAAAAAATGATGATTTTTTTCCAAATATTGGTTAAAGTAGCACAATTTTTTCATAGATCAAATAGTTTTCTGTTCATGCAAAAACTACAAAAGTTCCTCTTCTAATTTTTGGTAACTAATCAGAGAATGGAGAACTGTTGCAATAAATGAAGGTTGAATTCAGATTTTCCATTTTGAAGCTGTAACGATTATTGAAGAATACTAACTTGCATTTTGAAAAACATGTTCAACATCACAGGCTGTCAATATTGTGTAATTGTGACATGCAATATAATTGCCATTTACTGTTTTTAGAAGTTCAGTAGTCTCCAGTTCGAAAGCCTTTCATACATTTGTGGAATTTTATTCATAAATGCTAGGAATTTCTCCTAGTTTTCTGAATCGACAGTGGGGTTATAAATGGCTCTTAGACATTTCGACATATAGTGAACCGGATTCCACTCAATCTGGGGAAGTCCACAGTAACAGGCGGGATGCAGTGACGAAGCATTGCATTCCAAACTGGCTTGTCTTTCACCATATATCCAAAAAGTGTAAAGTTCATTGTTTGGGTGTTTTATTTTATTTTTATAAGGTGAAATACAATTTTCTATTCTTACACTTCATATGCTTTTGAGTGCGTTTCATATGCTTAATGAGAGAATGTGTGTTTTATTGAAAATCACTAGTTGTATTTTTACAGTGTGAACTACCATAAGGGTTGGACTGTCTCCAACCCTTATTGAGATGGACTAAAGATTAGCTTTTATTACTTGTCATACCTGTGGCAAATAAAGAGCCACATGTGTAGTATGAATATGTGTTATTTGTGAAATTTATTTTTCCAGATGCCAGCAACAGAACAGTATTTTCAATCCCATGCATCAAGAAAAATCCATACTTCTAATCGTACGTTAGGCAAACTACGCCACAATCTTCCTCAAGAGAAGCTGCAAAAATTATTATCTGAAACTACATCTTCACATACAAAACATCTTGAAAAGCTGCAAAATAATGCTATTTTTCTCTTTTCAAAGTGGCAGTTCATGTTAAGGTGTGTGTTCTCTTTTTTTCTTTTTGCCACAGCTATATAAATTAAGAATTGTAATGAAATAGAGATAGTGGAGTGAAATGTTCATCCTCATTTGTAGATGAGCCAAGCCACTGAATTCAAAATAATTTGTAGAGATACTTAGAACTAAATTTCATGCTATACTGACAAGGGAATCACAGACATACATTCAGTCGATTCAAGTATTATTATGCAATAAGGTAAAAAAAAATCCTTTTTGGACATTCTGTGAAGAAATTAAATCAACACAGCATACATTATATGCAATTTTGATTTGATTAACGTTCCTCTGTATTTTAAATAAAAAATTAACTCTTCAACTGTTAATTTAGGAAATTAAAGCTCTGTTAATGGCTTTTGTATTTTTACACATAGGGAAGGTTTCAACATTTTGTTGTATGGTGTAGGCTCAAAGCATAATTTGTTGAATACTTTTCATCAACAAATCACCGAACCTTCTGTTGTGGTCAATGGATTTTTCCCCAGTCTCACTGTCCAGGAGGTGAGTGCTCTAAAGTTCTTTGATTTCAAGCAAATTACCTTTAAAAAAATGAAAGAGTTTTTTTTTTTTTTTTTTTTCTTTCAAAAAACTTAGAAAAATGATTATTATAGTAATAGTTCAACATTTTTGAAATTTGTAAAACTTATTCATGCCAAGATATTGCAGTTTTATTTCTTCAAATATCCTGTACATTAAATTACTGTAGAACCTCATTAACTCGGGTATCCAAATAACCCTGACCAGTTTTGGAAAAAAAAAAAATGTTTGGCGTTATAAATGAAGTTTTGTTTTACAGATTATAACTCTCCATTTTCATTAGGTATATTACTCAAATTCACTTGCCAGTGGTGTAGAGTTCATTGCCCTCTCCCCACCTACCAACCGTCTCCATCACTTCCCCATGCCTTCAGCAACGGGCCTACCCCAGAGGGGAAAGTGGGAGGGGAGGAAATGCCCTGGACATTCTTATAGTCATCGTCTAGTTTGTACCAATGACTATTGTATGCATACACATTGTTTTTATGTGAATATGTGCCAATAATAATGTTTAAACTCCTTTGTATTGGGTATGTCCATGTTCTTTTTTTATTGTCTTTCCCTCATTCTCTGGATAACCCAGATTTTCGTTAACTCGGATCAAACCAATCCCAGTTAATCCATGTTGTTAATGAGGTTCTCCTGTACTTCTCTCTTATGTTTTAAAATTCAGCAAACTATTCTTACAGATCCTTTCTTCTATAGCTGAGGATGTCTTGGATTTGCATGGTCTCTCAGTAGATCTTCATGAAACGGTGGATTGCATAAGGAAAGCATTTTCTCAGCGTCACAGTTCACGGTTGTTCCTGGTTATACACAATATTGATGGAGTGATGCTTCGGAATGACAAATGTCAAGAAGTTTTAGCTTCTTTATCAAGTACCCCTAATATTCATCTTATTGCATCAATTGATCATATAAGTGCCCCTTTAAGTAAGTATGCATGTTTAAGAGATAAATAATGATGATGATGATGATGATAATAATAATAATAATAATAAAAACAATTGAATATATATGAATATATGATTGTCACATTAATTTTAATAATTTAATACTAGTATTCATTATCAATTCTGACAATGAACTATATTTTTTAAAAAATCAAACATGTTTTTTACATTTTATATCTGAAAATGAAAATAAAATGACAAACAATTTGATATTATTGTTTAAAATAAATCAGAAATGAAACTTTGTATAAAACAAGTATAAGTGAAAAAATATATACTGTTGGTACAAAATATATTAGGCAGATACAGTTGGTACAAAATATTTTATTATTATAGATGGCGAATAACTCAAATTGCTTTAAATTAAACAAAAATTGTTTTATAAAATATTTTAAAAAATGTTCTATAAAAGGATAAATCAGAAATTAGGGAGAAAATTCCCATCATAAAACCATACATCCTTGCTGTAAGGAGATGAGTATGAACAGAGAGGGAGTAGATTATTGTTAAAAATAGTTGTGATATTTTTTTTTTTTTTTAATTTATTTTTTACTTCTCCCTCCCAAATAATAACAGGGTCTATTTTTTAAAGTAATCTGCTCTTTCTGTCAGCAACTAGCCAATATGTCTGAAACAGATATGGAGAGTCCCATGATCAACACTGAAAAGAAAGCTTGCATAACAAAACAATTGTTTCGACCCTGATTTTCAGGAATTAGAAAAAACACTATCTGGGAATCATAAGAAAGGTTTAAACTCTATTAGAAAAGATGTTGGTAAACTAAATAAGGCCAAATATCACTTGATGGGTTTCTGTTCTAAACACAATAATTTAGATTGTTTCAAACTACATTGCGAAAGTTGCACAGAGCTGATTTCTGCACTAAACCATGAGTCTACTACTCGTGGAACAATATCCTGCTGCTAACTCATTTTCAAAACTGTTGGTGTTTGACGGGTTTCAAAAATAAACGATTCAGTGGTATTAAGGTCATGAGCTTGTCTAGCTGCTACAGTACCTTCTTCACTGTTCTTGATATCCAAGATAATGATATTTTGTTTTTGTTTCTGCCTTTCTTCGAAATGCTGTAAAATATTGTTGGCTTATTAAGTCATCAATATACTTTTTCAAACATTTGAGAAGTAATTTACGCCATTATAATTTCAATTTTCCTGCAATTTACAACTGTCTGCTTGCCCCAACACCAACGGGTACTGTCCCAACTTTCTCACTACCTTGCCACATTAAAATTAGCCATGACAAAAAGACTATTGAAGTGGTGCGATATTATAAAAAGTTATGAAATGTTACATAAAGATTAGAAGATTTAAAGATAGTGAAAATCATTATTGAGCAGCTAGGCCTATGCAAATTTTCATTTCATGACATTAGAGAGATATTTAAAAATGTACAAAAAAGTGACCAAAAGAATATAAGGTTTGTGCCACAGGTTTGCATTGAGTTGATGCTCGTCACCTTACTCTGAAGATGCCAGCTGATTCAAAGCCTACACACGAGTCACTTAATGCACCTGATAGAATAACACTGTGTTATATTCATATCACTGTATTATGTTCATATTCTACTATAAGAACTCTTATAGTACAACATAAGCGCTATTGGCAATGTCTGTTGTTGCCAATGCTAGTCACCTAATGGTCGTTGCACATTGAAAGCTACAAAACGCACTTGATCTCGATTTATGTTGTTGCTTGAGCATCTGACGTCTCTCGCCGTCAGTCATAGCGGTCGGACGTTCTCCCTGACGAAACTGTTTATAAGTTGTCGCGCATTCTTATCAACGCGTTGCGGACTGATAACAGTTTGGTTTATTAATCGTACAGGTGTTTTACTTTATAATATCTAAGATCTATAAATCATAGCAATGAATTGTGCTGAATGTCGTTCAGTTATCCGAGGGAACAATAAATCTGGTGAACCGGACTATGTTGAGTGCAGTGCATGTAATGTGTTCCAAACTCTCAGCTTCAGAACTTAAGGTTTTTGCACTGAAAAAAAGCCATAAGACTTCATTACTGTTGCGATAAATGTAAAGCGGCCACTGACCATGGTGATCTTAAGACTTTCCTTGCTATATTAAATAGGCAATCAAATGATCAGCTAATGGCAGGCATCAAATGATATTCTATTGAAGGAAGTGCAAGAACTTAGAAATAATAGAAATCTGGAATCTGGACCGAATTCCTTATCATCGAATTTTGAAGAAATGTATAGTGAAATAAATGATCGAGAAAAGCGTTCATATAATTTGATTTTGTTTGGTGTCGATGAGGGTCAAGAGAATGTGTCTACAAAACAATGTGTGATCGATGATAAACAAGCAGCTAAAACTATTCTAACGGCTATCACTGACATCGATATTGGTGAATTTTCAACAATGAGACTAGGTCCCAATAATAAACGAGGTAATCCTGCCAAATCGTCAACAGATTCTCAAACAAATTCACCATCTAGCACAAGACCGTTGAAAGTCATATTGAAAAATCGCTCCTTGGTGTTAGACATTCTCAAACACAAGAAAAGCAATAAAAGTTCTTTTAAAATCTCAGCCGACCGGACACCAAAGCAACGTGAACGTTTGAAAAGCTTATTATCTCAAATGCAGGCAAATGAAGAAAGAGGTATTACTGGAAGTAAATTGAAGTATAGAAATGGAGTTCCATACATAATAATTTCCAAAGATAGTACAATAACAAATTCCATAGATAGTTCTTCTATCAACCAGGAAAACATATAAATAATAGGCAATCCCCGAATCTATCAATCTTATAGCAGAACGTGAGAGGACTTCGCACCAAATTGTCTACATTGAGCAGAACTTCATCAGCCTTCGAAAATCTGGACATCATAATCCTAACTGAAACATGGCTTCACAAGGACATCACAGACACAGAGTTAAATTTTTATTCATTTGATATATATAGGCTAGACAGAAATCCAGATGCAAGCGCTTACGAACGTGGTGGTGGAGTCCTGATCGCGATAAATCGTAAATATACGAGTTCATTGATTTCCATTGATAAAACAACTGTTGAGAACCTTTTTATTCTCCTTCAATTTGATTCTTATGTATATGTTATAAGTACTGCGTATTTTCCTCCTAAATCTCCTATAAATCTTTATATCGATTATACTGAGTCTCTTGAAAATATTTTTGAGAAATATCCTACAGCTATATTTATAATAACTGGTGATTTTAATTTCCCAGATATCAATTGGACTACAGAAAATTACATTACTGTAATTAATGTTTCAACTAGTACTTTTGATATCACTTATCAGATTGGTAATCTACTCAAAAATACTATGAATTACTTGAACGTGAATCAAATTAACAACGTAGTAAATGTTAATGACAACGTGTTAGACATAATTTTCATCAATGACTCGTTATCACAAATAATTAAATCTGATTTTCCACTAGTTTCTTGCTCTCAAAATCACTTTGAAAAATGACAATATCACTTTACCTTTAGACTCTCACGAACTTGTATATAATTTTAAACTTGCCGATTATTATATGATAAATGAAGAATTATTAAAGTTTAATTAGTATCCCTTATTTACTGTAAATTCTTTAGACATATCAATTGAAATCTTATATAATAAATTATATGAAATTATCGAGAAATACGTTCCTAGAAAACATCAATTTTTCTTCATCTTATCCAATTTGGTTTTCTTAAGGATTTCAAGGAGAAATCGCGCGCCTTATTCAAAGTTTAAACTATCTCGAAAATGTTAATGATTATACTATCTTCTCTGATTTGAGGAAAAAATGTTAAGTGAAACAAGCTCAGGATTATTCTGTTTATTTAATTGGAATTGAAACTTCTATCAGTCACGACATTAAATCATTTTGGAAGTATGCTAACGCTAGAGAAAAATATCTGGCTTACAAAATTCTATGTTTTTTCGGAATGAAACCGCGGATTCACCTTCAACAAATTGTAGATTTTTCGCATTTATTTGAAGTATGCTAACGCTAAGAGAAAAAATATCTGGCTTACAAATTCTAGTTTTTTCGGAATGAAACCGCGGATTCCCTCAACAAATTGTAGATTTATCGCAAAAGTTTTGAAATTATGTATAAAAATGACGATATTCCAACTATTAAAAATTCAAATCAAGGCGATAAACTGGTTGATATTGGCTTTATTGATATACTCAACGTGATGTTTTTAATGCTATTGATAAATTGAAAACCGACACTTCTCCTGGCCCTGATGGTATACCATCATTATTATTGAAAAATTGTAATTGATCTGAATACAATCCCACACTTTTATTTATTAAATCTCTTTGAGAAGGAACCCTTCGAAGATGTGGAAACCAGTTGTATAACTCGATTCACAAAAAAGATAAACGTTCTAACGTTGAGAGTTATGACCAATCTCTAAACTTTGTATAATTGCTAAATTGATGGAATCCATCATAACAATTAAATTGACGCAATTTCTAAATCCAATTTTGATCAAAGAAACAACATGATTTTCATAAAGGAGGTCTCCTGTTACTAATTTGATGACTATCCAACATTATGATACTTGGAAATTTAGATATACAAAAAACAAGTAGTGTAATTTATAACAGACTTTTCCAAAGCCTTCGATACTGTAAAACCATGTTCTTTTACTTCATGTGTTGGAAGTAATTGGTATCCACCGGTACAATCTTGAATTGGTTCTATAGTTACTTAACTGGGAGAACGCAGAATGTGAAATATAAATCCTTCATTTCTAGAAATATATACGTTACATCTGTAGTCCCACAAGGTTCACCTAGGCCCACTATTATTCATTCTATTGTGTAAATGATCTTAAGAAAACACTTCCATATTTCAAATTCCTACTTTTTGCTGATGACTTGAAAATTTAATAAAACTATAAATTCATTACAAGACTGTTTCGATTTACAATGTGACTTAAATGCATTGTTAGATTGGTGTTCATCAAAAT